CTTCCCAATGACCGTTCTTTATCATTTTGGTCAATGTAGCAATGAAGTCTGCTTGGAAGCAAAGTTGAAATTTAAGAATTTAGGATATTGAAAGATTGCATAGATTTAATGATCGGCTTAGCTTCCACGGGAAGCAAGCTTCTTATGGGAGTATCAATTTTGCTGTTGTTGGGTGGAAGGACTGAAGGCATCTGGTTTGAATTGATTGTCTTCCAAGACAGTTTTCCATTTATTATCATTAATACAATGTAGGTTACTAGGGAGAATATAATAATACACCAGGTATTCAATGTGTATGGGGATACATTTGAAAATTAAAATAGTGGTTTCCTCAGGGGCCTCTCTAGACCTGGTAAAGCGGGGGCTGTGACCTGACATGCCTTAGGGGAGTGGCAAGAAAGGTACATGAGTGAAGCATCCCAGTGTAAGAGGACAGTGGTACATTAGAGAGACAACTCCATCAAAATGGGTCAGCCACTTCTCAGCCAATTCCTGAAAACAAAAGCCTTGTGTGGCCAGATCTTCTGATTTTGTAAGAGAAGCCAGAAATTTTCATGTGTCAAATTTTCCGATTTTTAAATGTCGGTACTAGTTAAACAACAACAACAACTGCAATCTACTTTTGAAGTCATTTACAATGATTACATAGTGACTGTAAATGAACTAATATCAATAATATGTAAGTATATAGAATGGACATGTTTCTGCTTTTCCAAATATGTTAATATTTTAATCTTACATCAGTGTCCAAAAATAATTATAAGCTACATAGGAACAAATCTAGGACCCCAGTTGCAGTTCAGAAATCTGAGGCGCAGAACAATTAAATATACTACTCAAGGTCATACAAATAAGGTAGTGGCAAACCTGAGATTAAACCTCAGGCTTGTTTACTCTGGTTGATGAGTTTTTTTTATATTCTAGACTTATTACCTCTATATGCCAGGCTGTTACCAAACTTAATACTGAATCCTACTGCAAGAAAAAAGATGTACAACATTAATCTGTTGAGAAGCTACACAATATGCATGACACCCTCCCGGGAAAATCTGTAATAGAATAAAGGAACTTCTGCTAAAATACGAATATGTGCATGTGTTCTAAAATAAATTTTGAATTAGTTTTTTGTAGAGTTAACCTTTCTTTTCATTTATTTGTTCCAGGATCATTGCAGGATGAAGAATATGCTTGTTAAAGAAATAAAACACACACATAAAAAAGACAAAATAGAAGATGGTTATGTGTCTTTTATTTGTAACATCTGAATTCCTAAGCTCACATAAAACTGATTTCATAAATATCCTTTAGTTTTATCTTGCATTTTAATTGTTTTTCATTGTTAGTCTGTTCTTAGAACCAAACCCTTAATTTAGTCACAAATGGAACTAAAAATATGCTAAACCTTTTTTCTGATGCAGTTAGAAAAGATCCTGAAACACTTTGAAATTAGAACATTAAAAGCTAGTAAAACAGCTTAACTGTCAGATTAGAAATGGACTCTTCCCTCTAAAAGTTACAAAAATCCTTATTTATTCATTGAAAACTGCTTACCCAGAATTAATAACTGCCCAGAGGGAAACAACGTGTTATAAGTTTTTTGGTTGATATATTTTTAAAAGCAGGGAAAAAAACCCATTAGTTCCAAAACACGCTTTGTTTCGCTAATTCTAGGAGAGAATCACCTATTTCATTAAGAACTAAAATGATCAAAGCACAAAGGACAACAGTATTAACCAAGTGACACATCAGACTCCTTTTAGTGATTTTGCCTTTGTACACACTCCTTGGTGGCTGTACTTTTCCTGTTATATTTCTTTTTCTCACAGTGTGATACCCACAGGGTGTGGAAGCGGTGTAAGGTTAGAGACCATAGGAAGTGATGTGCTTCCATTAATGACCAGAATGACATAATCACCACAAAAAGGTAAGAGAAATTCTATCCACGTCCCCTAATGCTTTGCCAATCAAAGAGGGGATTAAAACAAAATAACTCAGTGTGATCTTACAGGGAATGCTAAAGGTAGGAAGGAAGGAAGCTAAAGAAGCTAAAGCAAGATGGCAGAACAGAATATAGACAAGGATTTAGTGTCGGCAAATACAATAGAAAAGAAAATGTATAAGTGTATAAAATCAAGTCAAGAGTTCGCAAAGACACAACATAGTTCGGAGAAAGCATGCAGTAATTTCTTAATGTTCACTGCTAGTTACATCCATAACGCACAGTGACATGGAGAGCTTTAGGAAGGTTTCAGGCTCGAGTATAGAAATGTTAGCAGTGGGGCAACGAGACTTCCAAGAGAATTCCGCCATTGGGAGATGATAAATGGAGGAAGGCTGAAAGACAGCCGGTAACAGTCTTCAAATATTCAGTGAACATGCAAATAAAGCTCTCATTTAGTATGTTTTTACTTATACAGTCTTTGGATCTTAATGTGGGATACTAGAAAAGGTGAGCTGAAACGCAAAGATAATAGTTTAACTCAAGTTGAATGGAAGGATTTCAGATTGAATCTGGTCTGTGGGTTATACCAGAGGAGGCTGCAGAATTTCTGTGCCTGAAGATCGTTGAGAGGAGAATTGGTTTTTCACCTGGAATATTACTGATGTGGTTTGGGAGGGTAGAAGGAATAGCTTAAGAAATCTCTCGAAGTTGCTTCCATTCATCCTGGCCCTCAGAAATGAGCAAACACCCCAGGAAGAGAAAATGAGAAATCTCAGAAGTAGAAACTGACTCCAGATGGGTATTTCTCAATTTTTTAAAATTATCATCCTCCTAAAGAGCCTTTTTAGACATTTTATTCCTAATCATCTCCCTATCCCTACGGAAATTTAATACTACATATATACTTCATATCTGTATATGTACTACGGTCAGGCCACGACCCAGTGTAATATATAAGATTTCCTCCCCACCCAAATCAATTTTCGCACCCTTGGGCAATCACCATCAATGAAAATGCACGCTCTCTAAAATAAACCATCGGTCCGAATGGGACGTCCCTGAGGATGGGAGAAAAAAAAGTTATATATGTTTTAACTCTGGCTTCAGGGACTGCACAAATTCTCATTAGTCAGCATACTCATGCATTACCTGCAGAGGGAAACTTTTTGTGTCCTCTTCTTTCTGTTAAATGGGAACAGATGAATTCTCTGTCACTGCTATATCATCTAACTGCAATGGCTGTAATCTTTTGGAGATCCTGGACCTCTTTGTGAATGTTAGGAAAGGAAAGCACATATGTACAGTCTCACACTCTATAAAATGTATGCACACGGAATTTCAGATCTTTATAATGAATTATGGAACTTTATAATGAATGGATCAGGCAGATAACACCTCAACCCACTGATCAAGCTTAATATTTATCATAAAAAGAGACAACTAGACAACTGATATGATGCAAAAGGAAAGAAACACATCACTTACATAGTATTCTTGCTAAAAAATGTTTAACCTGAATCTAATAATGAGGAAACAATCAGAAAAAAATGCCAGATTGTGGAACATTCTACAAACAAACCAGCCAGAACTCTTTACTAATGTCAGTGTCATGAAAGACCCACATACACACGTGCACACACACACACACACGTACACACACACCTCACACATACATAAAAGAAGGACTCTAATCCATTAACTAAAGAGAATGACAACTAAGGGTATATGGATGTCACTGTAATCTTTCCTTTTTTAAATTTCCACTTTGACATTTCTCAAAAAAAAAAAAAAAAAAAAAAAACATGGATACATGTATTACTCAACTAAAAAAAAAAAAAAAAAACAGTGGGAAATGAGGGAGAGCGAGCCAGGTTAGGAGGAAGAAGCAAGATGTCAGTCTCAGACCCAGAGAGTAGGAGATGCCTGAAGAGCTGCCAGGAGCTCAGATCTCCATTTGCCAGGAGAGGTACTTAGGCTGTAGTCAGGCCAAAGAGATAAAAGATCGTCTGTAATGATTTTCTTCAGAATTTGCCAAACAAAGTTCTACGGGAATAGGAACAGTCTGTAATTAAAACGTAAGAGTGGTTTGCCAGCACTTACCCTAGAAGTGCCGATTAGTGCAGCGAGCAATACAACCAGGGGGAAATTGTTCCAAGAAGTCTTAAAAAACTCTGGATTTCTTTTTTTAATTGAGCGGAAATTGCATATGCACAAACAGTTAACAGAAAATAACCTTCGAAAGACTTCATAACAGAAGTCTTCAGAGTCCAGCATCCTACTTGATCAGGCATTATTGAAATACCGGAACTTAGTCAACTTTTTTTTTTTGCGGCACGCGGGCCTCTCACTGTTGTGGCCTCTCCCGTTGCGGAGCACAGGCTCCGGACGCGCAGGCTCAGACGGCCATGGCTCACGGGCCCAGCCGCTCCACGGCACGTGGGATCTTCCCGGACCGGGGCACGAACCCGCGTCCCCTGCATCGGCAGGCGGACTCTCAACCACTGCGCCACCAGGGAAGCCCAGCTTAGTCAACTTTTTAATGCAAAACTCCTGTGTTTTCCATTGTGCAGAGCTTCAGAGCTCCTCCCAGGGCCTGGGCTCCATGCTGTCATTTCTGTCTCACTGCTCAACACTCCCACGTGGCACTAACTGCATCGTGCATAGGTCGGGAAGATGGGCTCATTTGTCTGATCTCTGGATGCTTAGGACAGTCAGATATCCTTTCAGGCAAAAATGATGCTGAGAAAAATTTTTGCCTATCTTGTCCTCTCGAAGTTACTTAGGAAGCAAAAAAACAAAAAGCAAAAAAGGTACGTTTGTTGTTGATCAGAGCGCAACAATATGGAGAGAGGTAGCAGCACTTGGACTCCATGAGACAACTTTGACGAGATACAAAGCAAGGGTCGGTTTGCCGGGTTAGGTCAGCGTAGAATGCCACGGTGCTCAGACAGTTGACCCTTTCTCAGTTTGGACCAAGAAAGACTTCATGCCTTTCTAGGCTCTCGCAGCAGCTCCAGATGATTTTAACACATTACATGCAATGAAACAAAATCAGAGCTGTTGAGTTATTCTTTAATTAGTATTACATTGAAATGCCCTAATACATTCTTATCTACATCCCTCCACCAACTGCTATTTTGTCGAATTCAAATGCTCACTGGAAGTATCATCACCCCGTAGTCATAGGCTCTCAGGACCACCATGGTTTTGCGAATGAATCAGAGAAGGCAACATTGCTTCAGCTAAAAGTCACTTAGCTTTCAAAAGGCAGGATGTAGCACAGAATGATTCTGTCTACTGGGACAGAAACACTGGGAAGGATGGGAGAAGGAAGTTGGCTCCAGCTCCACTGTTACCTTGGCAACTGTGGTGCAAGCATCATCCGGGCAGAAATTAACTTTGTGCCATAATATCATAGGGCAGAGGAAGGGAGAGCGCAGAGGAAGAGGAAGAAAACATCGGCTGGATCTAGAAGCTCAGAGGGCCGTCTGGGACGATTACGAATCAATGGGCGGGGCATTTGAGCTACAGGCACCAAATTACCCATTGTACTTTTGTTGGGTTTTTTTTTTTTCACTGAAATTTCAGTATTGTGTGAAGACAGCCACCACGCCCTTTAATAATGAACAAACACTGCACTAATTTGGCTGAGGGCATCTGCTGATCATTCTTGGTCATTTATAACTTCCTTTTATTTCTCTCTTCGGGGAAACAGGGGGAAAAAAAATATCTTGAACGGAAGAGACAAGGAATGGTGTGGTTATAAAAAGCACATTCTGTCGAGGGTGAACTGGTAACTAGTTAGCCTTAGGCTAGAGACCAGTCTCTTCCCTGCAATGGAAGTGTGCAGACCCTATCTGGGGCAAGACGAGCCACCCCGTGGAGTGGTGTCTGGTCAAACTGCTTGTGCGGGAAACTGCACTGATGCTGTGGGACGGGCCTCAGACCTCCCAGCCAAGACCACGGCATCAGGGCCAGAGCCTGCAGGGACCGCACAGGAAGGCTTGTTAGAGAAAAACTGGCTGTGCATCCAGAGTTCCAAACTTCACTGGGTACTTAGAAAACACGTTACAGAAAAGGCAGCCGGCCGACGAGACAGGTAAGTGGAAAAGTACAAGTAAGTATGTCAGTCTCAAAACCTGAATTCCAGTAAAGCTTAGGTGGCAGGTCACAGGCAGAACTGCGACACACATGTAAGCGCAGAGGCTTCCTTCCTCCAGGATGGGTGAGGGGCCGTCCCTCTCTCCTGGTCAGGTCCACAGGTCACGGCTAGCAGCGCTCAGACGGTTAAGAGCACACGAAGTGAGCGGGGAACATCTCTCAGGAGTTACCGCTGGTCTCCAGCTTGCCTGCTCCTGGAAGTAGGTGCGCGCTTTCAGCCAGGGAGGTCTCCCTCCCGCCGGCCCGGGACTCCAGGAGGAAACAGCTTTTCCTCTTCCTTCCGTAGGGTAAGATGGGGCGTTAGTGACACATCCTGCTCGTCATCTCTTTCTGGAAAGCAGGGGGAGAAGGGTGGTTAGGAGTAACTATAAGCAGAGCAATGGCTTGTTGAAGGATTCTGAAAATACCCTGGCAACCTCTGGAGCCTTTAAACCAGAGGTTGCAAGCATGGCCCAGGAATAAGGCTCAGCATACAGATGTGTTCCACTGGCTGCAGGCTTTTTTTTTTTTTTTTAAATCAAAGCAATGTTTAAAAACCTCAGCTAACTTGCCAAAAAATCCAGGTTGCTCTGTGTTCTGGAAAAATTGCAAGATCTGGAGCCACTGGGCAGCTGAGTTGAGAATTGCTGTCCTCTTCAGATGCAGAATACACTCTCCAGTTTGCCCCAGTCTCCACCACTCCCAGCAGTCTCCCCATCAGGACTGAAGTACCACTTACTGGTTGATATGATCATTGGATTTAGGCGGCTGTTTTTCTTACGGTAGAGCACAATTTCTCTTTACGTACGTTTCAATCAAAGATGAAAATATGAAGGATAGGTACAAGTCGAGAAAAGTGGAAGGAAGGACATTTCTTAATAGAAATGAAGACTATCCCAATGTGTCTGACAGTCAGCCACAACCAGCTGGCCTTTCTATAAATGCTCTTGTGGGCATTTATAGATCCCAGATGTGCCATCTGTTTTCCTTCTCTGGGTCTCTGCACAGGCGAGACCCTTGCCCGTGGCCTGCTTCTACCACGCCCTTCTCTCTTTACTTGGCTAATTGCCATTCATTTTCCCAGCTCCAGCAAGATGACTCTGATCTGCCTGGGAAGCCTTCAGGCACTCCCGCCCCTCCCACTGTGGATCAGCCACGCCCTCCACCTGTGCCCACCTGGAGGCCTGCGTGCAAGGAGCCAGTTTGTACACCTGTGTGTGTGTGTGTGTGTGTGTGTGCGCGTGAGTGCACACACATGGGCGACGGGCATGTGTCCGTCGCCCTACTTGTGAGCTCCAAGGTGTCAGGAAGAAGAAACCCTCACTAGCACAGTGCCTGGCACAGGGCAGCAGCTCCTCTTTCATCCTTGAGAATGTCCTGGATCGCAGGCTGGGAAGGAGACTTGTGCCTTGGGGCATTTAGGAGGACACATTTCATATATTTTAGTTAGATGAATGAGCCGCTTCTGAGGTCCACCTGCTGCAGAGCTGACCCCAGCTCACCCTCCAGCGCCCCCTATCAAATAGGAAACATCTGAGTAACAGGAGCTTGCGAATAGGCGTGCCAGCTGCTCAGAGACTTTATTAGAAAACCATACCAATGTGCTGGCTAAAAAAATAACCAAATATACAGAACAGAATCTAGGTACTTTTGCACCCTTATGATATTAAGCAACGCAATTATGTAGAGATACATATATTGAAAAATTAAGTGACCATTTACTTATGCTCAGTACTTGTACTATGGACCAGGTGCCTGGGAGATGAGGTCGCTGTTCCCAAGGAGCTACGGTCTATCAGGGAGAAAACGATATAAAATACAATGATATAAATGTTAATATTTAGAGGAGATGAGGTATGGTAGAACCCAATCCACCCATCCCACTCTGCCCTCACTACCACCCTGTGTGACCTCCCTGAGCCTTTGGGTCTTAGCTGAAGTGGCCCCTTTCTAGGGATACCCTTCCGAACCTCCAGGATAGGGCATCACCTCCTCTTCTGCTCTTTCAGAGCACCCTTCCTCACAACCAGGATAGTCTTACTGTTTCATTCCTGCCTCCTGGATTCATCCCTTGTGAGATCCTGTAAGACCCACGGAGAAAAGGGCTGTGTCTGTGGTCTGTGCTGTGTCCCCAGTGCCTGGCAAGTGATGATGGATAAAATATTTGTGTAATCCAGCAATGAATGGGCTCCCAGTGTCCTCATCTGTGAAACAGACCAGTGATGCCTACTTGAGGTGAGTGGGAAGGTTAAAAAGTATTCATGGACAGAGTACGCATTCATTCCCTTTCCTGATCTCTCCAGAAGCACAAACATGGCAGCAGCCACTTTGTGCTGGGAAGGCAGAGCCTTGAGAGGACTTCTCTGATAACGTACCCACTGAGATGGACTCCACAACCTGGAGGAGGAAGAGTCTGACAGGTGAGGGTGGGAGAAGGGGGACTGGAGAACAGGGGCTGTGGCTGGAGGGAAGCACAGTCGAGGTGGAGCCCACCAGGGATCTGATGCTGCTGTGGCTGGAGCAGGGGGGCCAGGGCAGGATGGGGACGCAGGGGTAGGGAGACAGGTAAGCGCACAACTATTTGAATAAGGACCTAGGCACCTGGTGTGGGGGGATGGAAGTAGATGATGACAACCTGAAAAGGAATTTGCTGTTCCTCTGTTAAGCTTCCAAAGGTTCTTGTGTTTTTGGTTAACTTTTTGTGACAGAGATGGGAAAAATTAGGTGGGAATACAAAGTGTGTATGGGTGTGTGTGGGGGGTGTGTGTGTGTGTGTGGGTGTGTTTGAAAGAGTGAGAGCAAGAGAGTGAAGGAGAGATCATGGGATGAAGACAACTTTGCCTTTATAACTAATTCTCATAATTATTTGCAATGGGTCAGGATTACAGAAAGAAAGGAACTAGCATTTGTTAAGCCCCTATGAGTTTCAGGTGCTTCGGGTGGTTATATTAATATCATTGCCTCTGTAAAACTTTGAAAGAAGAGGAATCCAGGCCTCAGAGCAGAAGTGATGTGCTCAGGGTGAACAGGTATGGTGAACAGTAAGCTGCCGAGCTTAAATGGTAACAGTTGCTTCCATCAAACAAAGGTTTGCTGTTGTTTAGTCTCGGTGTCCCTCACGGCTCTACAGGTATCACTTCATGTAACCCTTACCCTGATCCTGTGAAGTAAGCTTCGCCATCCCCATTGGTCTGATGAGGAAACAGGCACAGAGACAGAGAATAATTCATCAAAGTCACACAGAAAGTGGCAGAAGTAGAGATTTAAATTCAGATCTATCTGGATGCAGAGGCCAGCTCTTTCCACTACACCACATGACCATGGTTTAAGCCTCTGAGACATTCTTATGAATATGCATTTGAGTGATATTGACTTATATTAATTAACAATTCATTGCAATCGTTCCTGAATTTTCAAAATGCCAAAGAGATAGTTTTTCTTTATCCAGACTGATGCCACTTTGAGTTACAAGTGCAATCGGTAAATACTAAAACAATTATGCCACTAAAAGACTATAGACACAAGAAATGTGGAAGACCTTTTTTTTTTTTTTTTTTTTTTAAGGAAAGCAGAAGAGGGAAAAGACTGAGAGAGGATATGGGACCTAAGCAAAGCCACTGAGTTAGTCTGTGAAAAGCCAGGACCAGTGCTTTCCTCACCAGCCGTGCAGCCTCAAATGCAGGAGAAAACCTGTTTACTATGAGGCCTCTTAACATTCTTACAGGGAATGAATGGTTGAAATAGATCTGAAACTTGAGGAAGGACGTCTCAGTTGGATCCGCCCTGCAAAAGCCTACAAGCCTTCACAGCTGTATTCTAGCGATTTCCCACTGGGTGGCGCCAATGGGATGGCTAAAAACCAACTGGTTCTGAGGAAAAAACACCCAAAACAAAAACAAAAAAACAAAAAAACAAAAACCACCCAGACAGGGCTTCCCTGGTGACGCAGTGGTTGAGAGTCCGCCTGCCGATGCAGGGAACACGGGTTCGTGTCCCGGTCCGGGAAGATCCCACATGCCGCGGAGCGGCTGGGCCCGTGAGCCATGGCCGCTGAGCCTGCGCTCTGCAACAGTGAGAGGCCCGCGTACCACAAAAAAAACAAAAACAAACAAACAAATCCCAGACAATCCAGCAGGGCCAAACACGTTCCTTCCCATCGGGGAGAGTGGCTTAAACAACTCCTATGCAGTTTGCTCTCTAGGGATGAATTTGCCATTGCAGAAGTTATCTGAACCCACCATGTATTAAGTCCACTAAAGAACTCCAACAGGTGCTTAAGAGGTTTCTGCAGAGGTAGAGTGAATTTTCTGAGAAATGTTCCTAAAGGCTGTATTTGGCTTGTACATGAAGACTTTTCAAGCACCCAGATTTTTAAAAATCCATTCTTAAGGCAAGAGTAAAGTCAGGTTTGGGTTGTGCTCAGTCGGTACCATTGCTTTAATGTAAGGCGGAACTTGATTCTGCAAAGAAGTCCCTGATTCCCGACTTTCAGCAGAACAAAGTCCACACTCTGCAGCCTGGCAAACAAAGCTGTTCTTAACTGGATCCACCCACCCTGCTCACCTCCTGTTGAAGCCCGGCCCACTCACCACACCCATCAGGCAAACTAGACTCCTCCCCGTTCCCCAACAGCCCTGGTCTGTAACGTTTCTAGTAGCTTCTCATCGGCTGTTTCTTCCATCTGGCAAATGCTTTCTGCCCTTCTATGCCTGGCAAACTTTGATATCCTTCAAGATCAGAAAGGGTTAATTAGCTCCCTTCCCGGGTTCCTCCATCACTTTGCATCACACCGCTTTCTGCCAGCACAGGAACTCACCATTTCATCTTGCCTGAATCTGAACAGACCCTTAAAACTTTGTTATATAGTAATATATGATGAGGGATATCTTGGTCAAGTCACATAACAGTATGTATGGTTTGATCCAATTATATTAGGAAAAAATATAAAGTATGAGTCCAGCATGATAAGTTTACCTCTGGGTGAATGGAATAATATATGTTTTCTATTTCTGATATTTGCCTTTTACATATTCTCTAGCTTTTTAGATATTTTTAATATACATGTAATTTTTCCTAAAAAATAAGCTTCGGGATTCCCTGGTGGCGCAGTGGTTGAGAGTCCGCCTGCCGATGCAGGGGACACGGGTTCGTGTCCCGGTCCGGGAAGATCCCACGTGCCGCGGAGCGGCTGGGCCCGTGAGCCGTGGCCGCTGAGCCTGCGCGTCCGGAGCCTGTGCTCCGCAACGGGAGGGGCCGCAGCGGTGAGAGGCCTGCGTACCGCCAAAAAAAAATTAAAAAATAAGCTTCAGTCATTTAAAAAACAAAGAGAAGTAGACCAAATCTCCACACTG